AAATGATTGTCAGTGGACAATCTCAAAGATCATTTTTATCGATTTTAAATCTCAAATATTAAAATAAAGAGTTATAATAATGTCAAAGACCATTTTAACTAAAAAAACCAAAAGAGGAATAACATGTCTAAAACACTAAAAAAAAGAATGTCAAAATACACTTCCATAAATAAATCAACTACAGGCTGTTTTTCAATTTTCACCACTATAAGAAATATTATTATTCTCCACTTTAAGCACCTAATTATTCCCTCCACTAAGAAAACAAAAAGTGAATGACAATTAGTCGCAAACTTTTGAGCAATGTCAATTATATACGAATACCTTACATGAATTGTGTCTATCGTCGAAGTTTCAGTCTAATAACATATTATTGTGTAAGTTTTTATTCACAAATCAATACATTTTTAAACTGAAACGTTACGGTAGCATTGAACCCGTTTCATATAACACCTGACCTCAAATCTAGTTGGATCTTGTTCTCTAGCAAAAATATATTTCCTTTTCCATATTAATGAAGGTGTGTGGAAATTTAAAATTTATAAAAAACTGAGGAAAAAGACAAAAGAGGAAAACAGCAGGAAGGAGCAGCATATTACCTTCTTCACACATTTCTTCTCCCTGACCTCATATCGATTCCTTGTCAAGTCAGACAGCCACATCCCTGGAAAACAATACTGCCAACAAAAAAATATATTTAAATTATTAAACCCAAAAATTAAAATTAAAATAAAATTGAATAACAATGATTTAAATTTTACATAACCTGCAGAGCTCTATCAACATTTTTGGCTCTTTTTTTGGGTCTCTGAGGGAGCTTCGTGCCTTTCATTGCAAGGAAATCATCTTCCTTCTCCTTCCTCGACAGAGCAATATAAATTCTCGGCCACTCCACCACTTCGTAGTTCACCTTCTCCGCTGCCGCAGCGGCAGCAGAATTAGCCGCCGCTCGCGAACCAGCGGCTAATTGATCCGATTGCAACAAAGTAGAATCAGCATGATTCACACGTTCAGCTTGAGCTCCATTTGGCTTGCTGTCATCTTTGGCTGCTGCTGATGACCTGCCCAAGCAAGCTGGCACCTTTCTCTCATTTTTCTCCGGCGGAGGAGATCTTTTCCCCGCCGTAGATCTAGAAGCGGCTCGGCCGTTGCTGCCACCAGTAGGGTTTCTCGATGGCGACCCATTAACGCCGGCAGATCGATCTTCCAAATTCCTGATCATGGCAGAAGAGAAGAGGAGATTGCAATAAATGGGTGAGTTGGGGAGATTTAGATGGATGAAAAAGGTGGTGACTTTTGGAAGTGGGATCCGAAGTGGGAGGGATCAGATGGAGGTTTTTTTTTTTCTACACTTTCCCAGAACAGAGATAATTAATCAGAGGGAAAGACAACAGAAATGGACAGGATTTAAGACCCAATGAAATGAAGAAAAAGCATGATTAACCTTCTATTATATACTAATTAATTAGATAAATACTCTCACTATCTCCAAGAATATCTAGAAACAGTACCACAAATTCCAATGCGAAAAAAGGTAAATTGGGAGGGAGCATTTTCAAGGAAGGTGATGAGATTTTCTATAAATCCACTTCACAAAAAGTGAAAAACAAAGCGAAAAACAGAGAGAGCAAAACAGAGCATTTGAAACTCTTTGGTCTCCTATGAGAGAAAAGCTGAAAGACCTTGAGAGAGATGGATGATTAATGAAATTTTATGGTGTGTCTAGGGGTAAAAGGGTCAAACAAATGAAAAATTGTAAAAAAGCCTAGTTTTTGAAGTTGGATTGAACAGGATCAGCTGGACAAGAACATGGGTTGGTTGTACCAAAAAGGACCCAAAGGGTTTGTAAATTTTAGATCTTGAACCAAAGGACCAAACAGTCTCTGAAGAAACAAAATCTCAGCCTGCAAACCCTAATTGGAAAAAACCCCAAATAAAATCATAGCATATATTAGGAAAAAATGGGTGGACAAAAAAGTAAAACCAACGTGATTGGAGGACTGGACTTTAAATATTTTTGACAAGAACAGATATAATGCAAGATCTACCAAGTGATCTGGAGCAGTAAAAAATGCATTAAAAGTGGTAAATATTATTAATCCACAGGGAGAAAAAAGGAAAGAAATAAAAACAAAATAATGAAAGGCATTGATACTCGGAAGGTTGGTATACGGTACCTGCTAGGAAGCGACCCGGAGGCTTCCTTTCTCGGTCTGCCGCCATTAGAAAACGACGACGTAGTGGAGGAAGAAGACGGAAGGGGCGGCGGTGGCGGCAGCATGGACTTGTCTCTCCTCTGCAGCTTTGAAGCCTGCCTCGCTTGGGCTGACGAAGAGGACTCATCGGTGACAGCTCGGATCTCAGTCCTGGAGACTCTCGACCTCTTTCTCTGGCCCCACTGCAGCAGCACGTCGCCGGCGCCGCGGATTGGGCTGGGAGTCCGGCTGGGACTCTTGTCCAGCCGCTGCTGGGTCTGGTGGTGGATTTCGCCGTCTGGGGAAGTGGGTCGGGCTCCGAATTGGGATTGGGTCTGGTCTTGAGGCGTGGGTTGGGATCGGAATCTGAAGGGTTTGGTGGGTTCTAGAGATGTGACTACACTGTTTGTTGTCACGGTGTCTGTAATCCCGTCGTCTTTGGATATGGTTCTCACGGTTGGTTTCTTGCCATTGCTCAGAGGAACGCAATCTGGGCTCACTCTCAGGTACCTAAAAAAACAAATTCAAGAACCCATTAGAGAAATCTAAACGCAAATCCGTTTCCGCAGCTGAATTCATAAAATCGAAGAACAAATCGACATCAATTTGGACGATAATTGAGAAGGAAATAAGTAAAACGAACTCAGAATTTCTGGTTCCAAGATCAAATTTCTGGGTAGGATTATCTGTTTTACTGAAGAGATGATAAGACCCAAGATCTTAGCTGAAATTTTTGGAAACAATTTTGCAATCTGATTGAAAACGGGGAATCGAAATTGGTCAACAGAGGCTGGGTATTGGTGAGAGTGGTTTGAATGTTGGTGAGGAGTGATTCGAAACCGAAACCAGTTTTCAAACACCATTTTTCTGCAGCTGACAACAGAAAGCTGAATCTGAAGAACCGAGACAGAGAGCTCTGTTATTTGCGGGAGCCGAAGCATTTCTGCATCAGCAACCGAATCCGATTGGACCCAGAAGCTGATTTCGACCCAAGTGAAAAAATCAGAGAGAGAGAGGAGAAGATCTCTCATCCAGTAAACAACCGATTGTTCAGAAAATTGAAAAAAATAAAAATTAAAGTTACAGAAACAGGAGGAAATGATGAAGCCTGATCCCAAGAACCAACAAGCCAACAAAACCAATCGACGGTTTGGACTAATTCGCTGAGAATCGCACACCAATCAAGCAAACAAAAACCAAGAAACATGAAAAGAGGAACAGCAGGCAGACCTCATCATCATCCGGTGAAAAATTCTACCTCTCGGACTACCAACTCACAGCATTAACATCTCCTTTTTGGATACAACCCAAATGAAGAACCGAGTCAAAATTGTTGTCAGAAATCAATGGTTTGTTTCTGAGGATTTGTTCATCAATGGCACGAGCAACGACGGGGAGGCTGAAGAGCTAGAGAGAGAGAGAGAGAGATAGAGGAGGAGGAGAAGGCAGGTCGAAAGTCTGGCGAGACAATCAGAGAGAGAGAGAGAGAGAGATGGGAGGCAGAGAGGCAGACGGAGGCAGAACCCAAGTGGGCGATAACATAAATTTATACAACGCGACTAAAATATGGTTGCCGCTGGAGGCTAACAACAAGACGCACTATGCACTTGTACCGGTGCTTAGCAGACTAGCTGCAATGGCTGGGTCGGCACTCTGGACACGTTTACTTGGTTTGGGCTTCTCTGTATTCACACAGCCCATTATACAAACATTGGAGGATTGGGCCTAATCTCTACTTAGATATGAACTTACCCAGGTAAAAGGGTAGCCGCACTTGTGCTCTCGCCAATTGCATATTCGGCGAAGACTTAATTGAGTCGTAGTTTGGGAAAATTTTGATAGTATATCTAAGACGTGTTCAACAACGAACCTCAGCTCCATATCTCGAAAATTGTGGATTTTTATTTTTATTGTACCAACTACACTTTGCTAATGTAATTAATTTCATACTTTTCTCAATAGATAAACGAGATCAACAAATAAATTCATATTTTGACATAGACATACAAACACTTTTTCTCCTCGTTAACAACTCCTTAAAGCACAAAGCGTTGATTGACTTAATTCTAAAACATAAAAATATATTTTGACCTCAAACAAAATAAGCTCAAGTCTTAAAACACAAATTTGTGACCTCGACCAAAAGAAATACAAAATATTGTGACACTTGCTCAATTGTTGGGTATGCTAATGAGGGTGCAGTCAAACCATGGGCAATCATGCAATTTAGTTTTCAACTTTTCAATTCAACAAATATAAAAATCAAGGAAAATACACACAAACATAACGAGTTACATATTTTTTTTAATAAAATATAAAGCTAAAGCAACAATCAGCGAGATATAAACCACAATTTAATCCCCTTTTATTAGCAACTTAAGCGTCCATCAAGTTTTATTACTCAGTACGAGTGATATTTCTCTTTACTTATACATGAAAGATCCAAAATTCACATATCATCGAAACTAAATTCAAACTAAACTACTATTTCCATTGTGTAGCTTAATCTAAGTTCCCTACCTACTTAATGTAAATATAATCTTTTTTTCCCTTTTAAAAGGGGAACCAACCGACGACAATCCATCTTACCGGGGGCGGGCCAAAAAAGACACAGAAACTCTCCTGACCACCGTCGTGCGATCTACCAATTCCAGAAATCGAACACAAAACGTGCCACCAACTTACAGAAATCGGGGGTGGTTATCATTGTATACCAAAAAAAAAAAAATACATTCCATTTTCCCTTTAAAAGCATGTAAGCATTTTCATTTGGGTACTTCCAAAAATAAATAACAGCAGCGGAAATAACCAATGAATTCCAAGTCATATATTTTCGACCCGACCCAGTGACATTCAGTATCTTTATAAACTCATTCATCCACATGCAAAATATTTTAATGTATCAGCAACTGAACGGCACAAATTACAATGACTACACAGGTCCAATATCTTATAATACATCCAATCAGTCGCTTGGTTGCGAGAAAAAATATGTACCAACATAGCACGGACGGCAAATTACTAGCATAAGTGTTATGGGTCACAAGTCAAAACGGCAACAACAAACGAAGCTGGCAACATCATCGTTATTGTGATTTAAATCGCACCTTCATTGTCTCCCAAAAAACGCGATCGAAGAGGAAGAAACTACCACAAGTGATGATGAAGTGCAATACATCTGGTCTTTAATCGTATGGTATTGTCTCCCAGCTCCAACTTACAGATATGTCGACCTTCAAATATGAGCAGAAGAAAGACCGATTTAGAACAGAAGTAGAACAACACAGTAATAAATTTCTTCACATAAGTATATTTTACAGATTTCATCCAACAGTTTTGTGTCAGGATAAAATGAAATGATGTGTAAACTGTAAAGCAATGTGCCACCAAATAGCCTTCCACTCAAAGAAAAACACAAAAGAAGCAAATAGATGTATATACCATGTTTGGGGTTGCGAAAAGCAACATGAGAAAGGACTTCCTATCTTCAGTATGCTACAGCTAAACCAATTATAAAGAATGAATCATCGGCAGCTGTACATTTTTAACTCTTCACAGAATAAACAAACAATGGGATCGTGATCTCATGCTTTGTTCTTGAGATCAGGAGCCTAGTCATAAGATCACATTTCCGTCATGGGCTGATATTCCCGTGTATTCCTAGCACACATTAATCAATGCTCAAACTAACCAGACGTGTTTTACTCACGGGCTGATGTTTCTAAGTCTTCCAAATAACCTTCAGAAAACAAACCTATCCAACAACCAGACACCACTTGTGATATTTTTACCTTTCAAAGAGACGGGGAGGATCTCAAAAACAACTTTAAGAGAATAACAGTGGCCTAACTTATGAAGGTTAGATGACTTTGAATCTGACAATCACAGCATCATGGTGCAGAGTTTTGAAGCAACTTTACTTCATATAGATGAAAACCAGCATTTTTGTTCTAGGTAGAAAAACACCCTCGTTCTATAACAAATTCTCTATCTGCTTCTCTCTTGTTTTCATATGTTTTCTATTTGCAGTTTTCCTTTTGAAGGGTTTGGTGTTCTCAATTCGACTGCCTAAAAGGTACAGGATGAGAATGCCATCAAACACACAATAGATTTCCATGACATCTAACAAGGTTATGAGTAGTAACCTGTCCAATGAGCACCAGAACGTGAAATTGGTCATTCTACCGGAAGAGCCTAGACGGTGATCTCTTTGGTATCTTCCCTTCAAGCTTCAACCTTCTGTATGCTTCTCTAAGGTGGCATGGCCTGATTGGCCCAGACTCTTTCCTCTCCGACATCACTATTCTGGCTGCAAGTGAACATAGAGGCTCTTGGTAAGCCAAATAAATGTTGGGCCATTAAAATTCATGTTACTCTAAATTTTTTATAACATACCTGTCTCAACAAGTTCACCAACAAACATCTTTGCTATCCCTGACACTACAATATTCATTGGCGCAGATATTTTTGGAGTTCCACTAATGCTAGTTAACAACTGCAACAAATAATGCACACAAACATTAATGCCAAATGGCTACTGTTGAAAATATGAAAATTCTATACAGGTTCCAGAAATGCCTTCTTTATGGAAAGGTAACAAGGAATCACACCCTTTTCATGTTGGCCCTCTGAAATCCAGCTCTGCGAAACGACTCGTACCTACTCATCTGTTCCTCTGAGAACTGCGATAAAATAGCCCTGAAAGATTATTCAAATCTAGGAGTTTAGAAGGACAAGAATAATCACCAACCAGATGTATTACATGAGATACAACGCAAGTTAGAACAAGCTCAAGGAAGAAAGCATACTTAGAAATTAGAATACTGCAAAGTACATCTAGCAAGCTTACAACTTTTGTTTCAAACTGTTGTCATTCAAAACCTACTTGGACCCTTCATACCCTAGTCGAGTTGCCTCACCTTCCCCCTTGTTTTACTAAACCCGAAAAAACACCCCAACGACGATAAGCTTTATAACAAAAACACTTCAACAGCTCAATTGGAGAAAACAAAACCCTCATCTATACACTAGTCATGCTCTAATCGATTCTTAGTTACGAAATCCCTTGGTTTTACAATGTAAGTCGAGTTTCTCTTTAAATATCTGAGTTCGAAGTGTTTCCCCTTACTGCTATAAATCAAAGTATGATGAATCTGCTCCATCAAGTTACAAAGCACTTTTATCTACAAACCTTAATTAGTAAATTGATAAACTAGACACTCAATTTCTTGAAGAAAAAAAAAAAAGCTGAATTACGAATTGGGGTTTATGAAAAAGTGATTAATTACTAAAAAATAAGCCTAATTATGAAATGCTGTTAAATAAAAGTGAAAAATTCGAAAGCAACATACTGCATCTTGGCCATTTTGTCAGGATCACCGGTGGCGGAGAACTTTCCGAGCTCGACATCCATGTTGTCTTCGTCGTCATCGTCGTCGTCATCCTTGTTCTTGACAGCGGGCCGAGCAGAGGCGGAGGGCGCCGTCGCAGCAGAAGTTGGCGTTGTTCTTGTTCTGGTAACTGCTGTTGCTTTCGGCGCTGCAGCTGATGGCGCGGACGAAGATGACGGGCCAGGAACAAGAAGAGGGTCGTCCTCTTCTAGGGCACCAAAGGCGGCGCGCGCGGCTTCAGCGACGGCCGGAGAATCGGGCGGTGAGTCGTCTTCTTGCTCCTCGAACGCCGCTTCGAATGGGTCCTTGGATTGCTGCTTCATTGTCGATCCCTCTGGAATTTGGGAACTTTCGTCCGACGAGACACTGTTCTATTTCTTTTGGTTTAAATTTCAAATATATAATGAGCAAAAGATTGGTGTGGGCCGTTTGGGCTTTCCATTGGTATGGGCCTTTTGGGCTTTCCTTTGTTTAGGCCTTTTTCCTTCCAGGAATCCTTCGGCCGACCCAAAAAAGAAAGCCTAATGGGGAACAAATTATGCAAAGAACATGATTATTACAACTGTAATGTTAGTTGGTATTCTTTTTCACTTATAAGTGAGAGATTTTAAATTTGATTTTCGCCAAAGGCGAATTTGAATCACATTATTGCTAGCTCATTGTCAGGATAAGCCTACCCCTCGTCCTTAATGTAGATAATATCGTTGTTCAAAAAAAAAAAAAAAATTAGAGGCAGGCATGGTTAGTTTAATTCGATTTAGGACTCATACAATACTCAAAATCAATGTAACATCACGGCTCAAAATGATTTGATTTGATTGATGCCTCAAACTAATAGCATAATCGAACAAACTCAATTCAATTAGCAGTCAGTTTGGTTAAGTAGTTTTTTTCCTAAAGAGATTTGGTTCAGAGTAAGAGGACAAGTAGGTCAAACTGAACTGAACCAAATTGTGTGCTCGGATGGTTTGAATGGTTTAAGCCGTATTTTGTACACCTCCTTCACCAAAAATTCCGAAGAATGACTAATGTTATGTGGTATGCATGACGTCATTTCTAGCGTTACATCAATGGTAACTAAAATTCTTAGTAAATTTAACAGGTAATAAGGGATTAAACGTAGTTAGGTGGTGGGAGTAGTACAGCGATGTGATATCCTCAGCAATATCAACCAAATTATGGCACTAAGGAGGTAAGCTATTGGTTTCTCGACTAAAGCTAAAGAGATGATTAACATAAAGCCACTTTCTTTTCAGATATGGTGATTCAAAGGCAGATCTGGTGATGCCAATATCACTGCGTTCGTCCATATCCTTAAAAAGATATATATATATATATGTCTATATATATATATATAGTATATATTGACACGCATATGTAAAACATTGTAGGGCAGTAGGTGCTACTGCATTGACACTCCACCAAACCCTAATCAGTGTTTGTTTGTTTCTTTTTGTGATGAGTCAGTCAGCCTAACTGAATCAGTCATCACTTTCATGCTCTCTCTCTGCACGTACTAGACTTGTTCTTTATACTTAACCACCACAATTTTGTGCTCATTCGGAGACCAACATACGTGTCATCATTGATCTCTCACCGTTGAACTTGGACTTCAATGGTGGAGAATAATCAGACGTATTTTGTGTTTTACTTTCAACCCTTAAGTGATCACAAATGTCTGGTGGAGAATAAATATATGTGTTTTTAATGCTATCATTAGCATGGATGTCTTCGGGGCAAGATATTTGACAAGATACTTCAAAGAGGTTAAGGCATGGTAGCTAAATACAACTATGCAAAGTGACGTGTGGGCTTCATCTTGCTCCGAGAAAAAAAACCTTACAAGTCTGCAACTATCAGCCATGCACCGAAAGTCCTGTGTTCGACTCCCTAAATCATACTTATATTGATGTTTGCAAGAAAAATTCCTCAACAATGTGAATCCAAATGTTTGTTCAAACATGTTGGAGATGGAGTTGAATATTGGTGACTTTAGGAGGGTCATTAGTTATGCAGTCCAATGATCCACATAATTATTATTAAGGCTAAAAGTAGCCAACTAGCAAGGAAGATTCCGCTGCTGATGATGATTGCGATGATGGACCATTGGTGCATAAACCAGCATCATCATCAAAGTGTGTAGAGGCATGGAAGCAAGCAATCACCTTACACGAGCTCAGACACCATTTCCATTTGGGGGAGGATCAATCGAGTGTTTTGTCTTCTTTTTTCTAAAAATTGAATCATAATATAAAGCAGTAGTTTTTTATCTTCTTTAGTGTCCCGTTTGGCAACATTGTCAATTATTGTGGTCTCTTTAAACCAAGGCAACCTTATGATATTATCTCAAGGGTTCATTCCACTTGAGGCATCTACTTTGTGTATGTATTTATATGTGTATAGATCGGCCTAGAGTCCTTCAGTTCAGGTGAAAAAGATTCAAACATGTCAACAAAGAGAGGGAGAAGGGGGAAAGCGTAGGAAGGGAAGGAGGGGGAAAAGAGATCGGTTTATGACGAACTTGAAGAAAGTTGAAGTGCTACTATAAAATTAATTGACAATATGAGAAGTAGTCTAATTACATATAGCACGTGCAAGGTATATTCTTTTCTCGATATGGGATTCATACTCTCAACATATCCTCTCACATGTAGTGAACTTTCAAGCCTAGTACGTGGACAACAAAAACGGGATGACATGGAGCACGTGTGTTTGGGCTTCACACATGAGACAACTTGCCCTGGTACCATAAATAAAGTTGACGTTCTCTTATAAAACCAATTGGCAATATGGGGAACAACTCAATTACTTATAGGTACATACAAGGTGAGTCAGAACACGTCGTTCGAGAGGGATAAAATGAATCACTGTGAGTTTCAGAGGGCAATTGAGGTTTAACATAGTTTCAGAGCCACTGGCATAATTAAGCCTATATAAAGAAACTCATATTTACTTACAAATCATAGCTTGATAGATATACAAAAGTAATTTGTTGAATCATAAAAACAAAAGGTTATGTCTCATATATAAAACTGCAATTTGTCTCTCTAAAATTCTTTTTCTTTCTAAATTCAAAAATACTTATTTACGGAAACAAAAAAATCAAACTTAAGTGCAACAATATGATAACCAACTGACCAAACTCATATCCCTCAACCTAACGAGAGTTGTTGGTTTAAAGAGAAAATTGAACAGTAATAAGCTTCCCAAACCTGGCTTTATTGCATTCATAATTATGCTTCCTAGGGAGAACTACATATTATAACTCATTGACCAAATAAAAATAAAGAAAGATTCAAAAGAGGCCCACAAAAAGAGAGGGAGGGAGAGCGAGGAGAATGACATAGATTAAGGCGATGAATCCCAACATCTCCAAAATCAATCTATATGCTTTTTCTTTTTTCACGTTCTGGTCTAAAGCAAAAGGAGAAGGAGGATGGACGGAGGGCTCCTCCTCCTCCTTAATAATATACTAGAGTACTGTAAGAGAATGAATTTTAGATTGAGGTGAGAAGGAATTTTGCATAAACTTATATATAAGTTGGCCTACTCGCTTGTATTGTCAATTAATTTTATTATGGAACCTTAACTTTTTTCATGGTATGAGAACAAGTTGTCTTACGTGTTAAGCTCCACGTCACTCAATTGTGTTGTGACGTGTTGAATCAATCCCACATCGGGAAAAGAAAGGACCTTGCATATACTTATAAGTAATTTGGCTACTCCATGTAGCCAATTGATTTTATGATAAAATCTCAACTTTCTTCAATTACTTTTGCTACATATTCCAATCAAAATGCCGAGGGGAGGAAGATGGTCTAAAAGAACCCAATTAATGTGTCCACTTTAAAAGCTGGAAATCATGGAGCTTTTATCTGCTTCTTCTCCCAACTTGATCATATCTTTCTTTGGCTCTTAGTTAATCATCATTAGTTCAACCCAAAAAGACCCCCTCATCAATCCTCTTGGCTTCATTTATAAGTATAAATGTTGGTGTAATGCAACAACGTTTACACAAGAAGTTAAGGTATCTGATCAAAGTGATGAGTTTGTAGTTGAAGCGATTAAAAGTATTAATTCAGTACACCAAAGTCATATGTTTGGTTTCTTTTACTGATATCGCATGTATCAAACAAAGTATCCAACCAGAGAACAAGGTGAGACCTAGAAGAAAAGTCAGGTTTACTTTATCCATCACAGTAACAAAATTAAGTGATCGTTTGATAACCATATCACTTTTTAGCATTTAGTTTTAGTATTTGTACTAGAGCTAGAAGGAAATACATGGGAGAAATGAGAAATGAAAAAGGATGAAGGGCGGTAGTAGGAGGAATAAAAAAGAAAAGAAGTAGATTATACGAAAACAAAAACTTGAAAGTGAAAAAGAACATGTAATTGTTTTCAGTTCGTCGTTTTCATTTCATCTTTCTTTCTTTTCATATTTTTCAACCAAAACCAAAATTATATTACAATGCAATGGTTGAACTATGGTTGAAACAAACGTGAATTGGAACTAATGCATATCAAGCCTCCAATCAATTTGGTTTGATGAAATGATTTCCTCCTTATGATTGTCACTTTAAAATTCTCACTTGGGTCTAATCTCTTTTTTTTTTTTTTTTCAATTAGATGAATAATAAGCATAAAGCAAAGGACTTTGAAGGTAAAGCAAATTTTGAATATTGGTTGATCAAACGGTCCGCTGTTGCTATGAATCTCTTTATATGCAAAAAATGCGTGACGCTGCTTTTGCTTTTCCTTTCTATAAAGTTGAAAGATGCAACCAAAAACATGCTGTGCTACAAAGACCTCCAAAATTCCAAGCCAAAGCTGAAAGCTTCTTACTAATAGTATCCAAGGTCATCTCTCTCCCTCTCTCTCTCTCCAAAAAAAAATAAAAATCAGATCACACATGAATGAAATGGTTGCAGTTGTTCTATAATCCAGAAACCCTTCAATGGCGAATTCCGAAATGATCTCTGTCTTCCTCTGCTCTCTCTTTCTGTTCCTCACTTGTTTTTCTTCTGTTTCATCACTTAATCCGTCTCTCAGGAGGCAAGCATCAATTCTTGTTTCTCTCAAACAAAATTTCGAAGACTCGAAAAATCCTTCTTAAGTACTTGGAATGTGTCAAACTACATGTTCCTCTGCTCTTGGGCTGGCATCAAGTGTGACAGCCTCAACAGATCAGTAGTCTCACTTGACATATCCAACTACAATCTCTCGGGCACCCTTTCGCCAGTGATCACTGAACTCCGCACCCTTGTCAATGTTTCGGTGTCAGGAAATGGATTTTCGGGTATTTTTCCTCCTGGTATCCACAAACTAGCCGAGCTACAAAACCTCAACATCTCCAACAACAGGTTCGGTGGAAGCTTGGATTTGGAGTTTTCTAAGTTGGAGGAGCTTGTAATGCTAGATGCTTACAACAACGATTTCAATGGATCACTTCCATTAGGTGTCACTCAGCTTCCGAGGCTGAAGCGGTTGAACTTTGGCGGGAACTACTTCAGTGGGAGCATTCCTCCTAGCTATGGAAACATGGTGCAGCTTGATTATCTGTCAATTGCGGGAAATGACCTGAGCGGTTACATACCGAGCGAGCTCGGAAACCTCACTAACCTACAGCAGCTTTTGTTGGGATATTACAACGAATTTGAAGGCGGAATCCCACCAGAAATTGGCAAGCTGATCAATCTGTTTCATTTAGACCTCGCAAACTGCGGTTTGGAGGGGCCAATCCCTCCGGAGCTAGGCAATCTGAAAAAGCTAGACACTTTGTTCTTGCAAACAAACCAGCTCAGCGGTTCGGTTCCTGCTCAGCTGGGAAACTTGAGTAGCTTGAGGTCTCTTGATCTCTCGAACAATGCGCTGACGGGAGATATCCCCGCTGAGTTCTCTAGCCTCCGCGAGCTCACACTACTGAACCTCTTCATCAACAAGTTTCACGGTGAGATTCCTCGCTCTATCGCGGAGCTACCGAACTTGGAAGTCTTGAAGCTGTGGCATAACAACTTCACTGGAGCCATACCTTCAAAGCTTGGTCAGAATGGCAAACTGATTGAGCTTGATCTTTCGAGTAACAAGCTCACCGGGGTTGTCCCAAAATCTCTTTGCTTTGGGAGGCGGCTGGAGATCTTAATTCTGCTCAACAATTTTCTCTTTGGGCCTCTACCTGATGACCTTGGCAAATGTGATACTTTAGTAAGAGTCCGAATGGGGCAGAATTATCTCACTGGATCAATCCCGCCGGGCTTTCTTTACTTGCCAGAGCTCTCACTAGTAGAGCTACAGAACAATTATCTCACTGGACAGCTTCTGCAGGAAAGAAGCAAACAACCCTCAAAACTCAGTCAGGTGAATCTGTCAAGCAACCGCTTATCCGGGCGCCTTCCTGCATCTATCGGAAACTTCTCAAGCCTGCAGATTCTTCTATTGAGTGGAAACCAATTCACTGGAGAAATCCCATCTGAAATAGGCCGGTTGCAAAGCTTTCTCAAGTTGGATGTGAGCAGAAACAATTTTTCGGGTACAATACCTCCGGAGATTGGAAACTGTATCGCTTTAACCTACTTAGATTTGAGCCAAAACCAACTCTCAGGTCCAATCCCAGTTCAGATTGTTCAAATCCACATACTGAATTACTTCAACGTGTCGTGGAACCACCTAAACCAGAGCCTCCCAAAGGAGCTAGGCTCCTTGAAAAGCCTAACGTCTGCTGATTTTTCACACAATAACTTCTCCGGTCCAATCCCACAAATAGGGCAATACTTGTTTTTCAACTCCACATCCTTCGTCGGTAACCCTGAGCTCTGTGACTCTTCTGCGAATCCATGCAACTACTCCTCAGCCTCATCATCAAGGGATCACAACCAAACTGGCATGCGCTCTCATGTCCTTGGCAAATTCAAGCTTCTCTTTGCTCTAGGACTCTTGCTTTGCTCGTTCGTGTTTGCAACATTCGCAATCATCAAGACCAGAAAGGTGCGAAAAAATTCGAACTCGTGGAAGCTCACAGCATTCCAAAAGCTTGAATTCGGAAGTGAAGACATCTTAGAGTGCGTAAAGGATAACAATGTGATCGGGAGAGGTGGAGCTGGGATTGTCTACAGAGGAACAATGTCGAAAGGCGAGCAAGTAGCTGTCAAGAAGCTGTTGGGGATCAACAAAGGCTCGTCACACGACAATGGCCTCTCTGCAGAAATTCAGACACTGGGAAAAATCCGCCACCGGAACATCGTCCGATTGCTGGCTTTCTGTTCAAATAAAGAGACCAATCTGCTGGTTTACGAGTACATGCCGAATGGAAGCTTGGGTGAAGTTTTACATGGGAAGAGAGGAGGGTATCTCACGTGGGAGACTAGGTTGAACATAGCCATTGAAGCAGCAAAAGGGCTCTGTTATCTGCACCATGATTGCTCACCATTGATTCTTCACAGGGATGTGAAGTCCAACAACATTCTGCTCAACTCAGAATTTGAGGCTCATGTCGCAGATTTTGGGCTTGCCAAGTTCTTGCAGGACACCGGAACATCAGAATGCATGTCTGCAGTTGCTGGCTCATACGGTTACATTGCTCCAGGTAATTCTATTGCTACATCATTACTCCAATTCGAGCGGAGATTCTTGCATGTAACTGGGATGTGTCCTCATTCATCACGTGAATTACTGTTTTTCTATCTCACACATCATGTGAGTCACGTTATGAGTGAGAGATAAACGGATGTCTCCGGTTACACCCTAATTTTGCTCTTATTTTGAGATTTTTTATTTTTTAATATTAACATCAAGCAATTGAATATGCTACTAAGTAGCGACAATAAGCTAAAATTGACCTATATACTTTGATGCAGCACTTTGGTAAAGTAATTAAAGCATATTCCATGTGTCTCCTCTGACTTGGTGGATTAAGTCGGCCACTTTTAATAACAAAAGAGAGAATGATTACTTCAGATCTTGATTTGTTTTGTTCAATTTGGTATTAAAATATTAATAGATGAATAGAGGATAGGAAAACGTACGCATACAAAAACAGATCACAAATTTTTAATCAAAAATAAAGTTCAAAAGGCACTAAGATGTGGAGGAAGAGACACAAAATCAGTTTTATTACGCGTATTTCTCTAGAAAATACATGTTTCCTTTCATATGTATGTACTTTACTTTTTACCAAAGTAGCAAAGTAGGAGTGGCATATGGATTCCAAAATAGGCAAAGGCTCCACTGACATAGGTAAATTCTCCTTTTGCTTTTTATATTGCTCTCTACACAGAGAGTAGTGTAATGCAGTATACATGTCTTGAAACCATAAAATTCCATGTTCCTTCAGCCCAATCACAAACCCACTTTTTTGACCAAAAACCCATATGAACCCAAAATCCACAAAACTCCATACAACCCATTAAGAATCTTGCTTGGGATCCAAGCTTTACTTTCCCTAAACCCTAGAAAGTGGCACAACTGTAAAGAATATGGCATAACCCTAACTTTTTCTTTTACATCCACACCCCCATTGCTTTACCTTACCTGTGTTGTGTAGAGGAGTAAAACAAAATAGAACAGTGGATATATCACGTCTGTATGAGTCATTTTTCACATGAGACTCGTCTGTATTTTAGTCTCATTCGACTCCATGTTGTCTCACTAAATGTGAGAACTATCATAGTCAAGCAGCTTTACCGAAGTATCTTTTAACAAATCAGTTTCCCTTTTTCACTTGTTTTGTGTATGTTATGAACTTTTACAACCAGCTAAACTTTTTTACCGTGCCTCATGGAACAGAATATGCGTACACATTGAAAGTTGATGAGAAGAGCGATGTGTATAGCTTTGGAGTTGTACTGTTGGAGCTCATCACAGGAAGAAGGCCAGTTGGTGGATTTGGGGAAGAGGGAATGGACATTGTTCAGTGGACCAAGATTCAGACCAACTCACAGAAAGAAGGGGTGATAAAGATCCTCGACAAACGACTAGACACTGTTCCGATGGACGAAGCAATGCAAGTGTTTTTCGTCGCGGTTTTATGCGTTCAAGAGCACAGTGTGGAGAGACCAACCATGAGAGAAGTTGTTCAAATGCTTGCACAGGCTAAACAACCAAACACATTTCACATGCAATGATTCAGTACTTGAATCAGATCATGGAGCAGCAACATTTTGGTGACAGCCACAAAAATGTCACGAACATGAATAATAACACATGATTTTCGGATCAAGTAGCGAGCACGGTTGAGTAACTGGTATAGCAGTACCAAGCTGGGAACCAAAAGTAATAAGTGAAGAAGGCAGCCAGTCCACATAGTATATATATACAATGTTTTATGTTTTTTTTTTCTTCTCAATATTTTTGGGTTTTTGTTTGGTATTGTTGTTGTATTTGTTAGAGTGAAGGTAGATCTGTTGTGGTGATTAGTGGCAGGCAAAGGTCGCGATATTGGTACTGGTTAGTTTGTATTATTGTGTCATCATATAAATGTATGACCAAATGATTTGACGTTGCCTTTATTATACTGTAATAAACTTTTAGATTTTGTACTCGAACGTTTTGTGCTTTTTCTGATTAGCTAAATCCCACTTAATCAGACTGATGTCCTCAATCATGCCTGATTGGGGAACGCACTAGATGTGGTTGTAATTAGATGTGTCAAATCAATTATTGGGTTGTTAATGGTACTTGTTAAGATCTGTTTAATTTGATCTGATTTTGGTAGTGGTGATGACGATGTAAGATGAAATCAAACTAAATCGATCTTAATAGGTGCCCATTATTAACCTAATGGGTTGATTTGCACCTCTAATTGTAACTCTGCAACTTACAAACCAACGTATTTCAGAGTCTAATTAGTCTTTTCTTCTTCTTCGTAAGATTTTCAAGGAACATACACAAATGTAACTAGTTACAAACTTTGAGTAAAAAATGGAGCTCAAGGGACACTAATATGTCGATAAACGGGACAAAAACCGATGTTCATATACAACTAGTTGAGCACCATTTAAGGGCTCTTATAAACCTTCTCAAACTCTAGATATAATAAGGTAACAGGAAGTGAATATATAGGGTAACAATCATCACATGTTGTAGAACAGACTAAATTAAGTAGGTTTCAGACAACATTTTTCAAGATCCAAGATCAATTAACACTTCTTCAAACCAAAACAGACAACATTCTTACTACTTATGATTCCTGGACTTTCGTCTACCATGACTCGAGCTTCTCTCAGATACTCTACCCCTTGAATCAAGGTTTGAGGCAGAAGTATTATCTGAGGTTTCACTAGAGTATCTCCTGCGCCTCTCTTTGGCTTAAATGACACATGATATCGTCGTATCTGATCGAGCTTGTCCTTTCCAGCAGAGAGTGTGTGAAAGAAGTCACCCAAGCACTCCAACTTTCTGGCAACGAACACATCGTCATCGACGCCCTTGTGTCATCTTCAAAATTGACATTGTTAAAGGACAATTTAGTAGTTATAGCTTCGAACTTGCTCATATGCTCGTTGCGCGCCTTCTTTCATCTTCAGATTCATTAACGGTTGCAGCAGTTGCACCTTATTGTACGCTGTCGATTTCAGCTCATACACGTCAGTCCGGGCAGCCGTTAAACTTTATGTGGTCTTCTCATTTGCTGTTCTTAGGGCAATGCTCGTTGATAGACAGGCACTAAAAACTATCTGTGCGACATTGTCAAACTTGACGTTGATAAGGACAATTGAGAGATAATGTAGTTGACGTTGATAGAGGACAACTGAAAGATAATGTAGTTGAACTTGCTCAAATGCTTGGTTGCGCTAGTGCCTGCTTTCATCTTCAGATTGAGTAACTGTCGTGTGAGTTGCACCTTATTGTACGCGGTTGATTTCAGAGCGTACAAGTCAGCCAGAGTAGCCATTAGACCTGCTACGGTGTTCTCATTTGCTGTTCTTTGCACAATTTTCTTTGACAACCTCGCACGGATAATTTCTAATGCCTGCGCATCTAGGAGTTCCCATTCGAAATCCTCCATACTTTCTGGTTTCTTTCCTTTAAGAGGAAGATTGAGATCATTTACACATAGGTAGGCCTTGATCTTAATCTTCCATGTCTCAAAGTCTGTACCGTTGAACATGTTAACATAGTTCCCGACTTCTTTAACCATTGATCCTCTGCAAAAAAATTAGTGAAGCAAAACTCGGATACTAGCTGTCTGGAGAAAATTCAGTATCCAAATCAGGAATATCCAAAAGCAATCGGGTAAAATTAGGGTTAATAAATGACATTATATAGGGTTAATTAAAAACAGAAATCTAGCAGTACAAAACGAAATTTGACGAATTTAAGGAACAGAATTAGGGAAAAATTACATTAAAATTTTTACACATAATTAACAGGCCACCAGTTGTGCTTGTTAAATTATACAATTTGGTTATTTTTCATTGAAAAAGTCTGAAGATTAACAGGAATTTTTTTTTTTTAATAAAAATATTGACGAAACTAATAGAGAAACAAAGAAAGAGTGCACTATGAAAACTAGGGTTTTTGTGGGATGGTGATTTCAGCTGTTGCTCTCTCTTCGACTTCTCATAAATTATAAAGGACAATTGGTAAAGAAGAGGATTTTTGGACTCCTCCCCAGCATGAAACAGTGCATTAAACCCATAAAGAAAAGAGCTTTGAATATTTGGTCCAAGGTCTTATAATATTTGGCTCGTTTGGAAGTGTTTATAAAATGATTAAAAGCGTTTTTAATAAATATGTTTTTGAAATCAATTCTTAATAATAAAGCAAGAAGCACTTCAAGTGCTTTTAGAATCCAAAACATTTTCTTTAAAAGAGCTTTTAGTTATTTTAAAAACAATTCTAAATCAGTTCGTGTCACCGGGAGCATATTTTCGTATTACATGATGAGTGCTGCACTCACATAGGTACACGAATGAAAAATTTACTCCGGTGACAATCAAGTCCTTGGGGATTCGACATCATGTTTGCAATTTTGAGTACAATGACTATCCTTGTGAAGAAGCCGCATACGACCTCATTTCAAAGAACTTGTTATCATTAAACAGAAACGTCCGCAATGCCAAAGGAAACAAGTATGATTGCAACCCAAATAAACTCTAAACTGATCAATCGTTTGTACAAAATAATTCACATTACAAGCCAAGTTTCTTCGGCCTCAAGTATGTAGAAGAGCCCTGGTGTGAACCCGGCATTGAGACGACTTGCTGCTGCTGCTGCTTGGATCTCTTTTCCCTCTCCTTCTGCTTGCTTGCTTTCTCTGCCTCTGCTCGAGCCTTTCTCAGATTCTCCATTTCCGCCTGCATCATTGTCTTTTCCCCCTTTTGTCTCTTCTTGTGCTCCAACATTGAGTTATCCGACTCCTTCACATAATAGAACATGGATCCGAACTCAGCCAACCATTGCGGTTCCACTGCAGTGGCACACTGCATATACTCCTTCCTTGTCAGAACTAGCTCATGATAGACCACATACTCTGGATTGCAGCCCATGCCATAAAGCGCACTGCTCGGGTGTAAATAGCATGGCATTCCAGTCCGGCAGTTAACATATTCCCCTACACCCTTTAGTCTTGCTGCATTCTGAAAGTACGCAGAGCAAATAGCTTGTCTCACCTTATCAGTATCAGGCCAACAGGATGTGAGTGGGACTTTGACTTTGAGTGTCTTTAGTATCTCTAGCAGTTGGGACCTCACCTCTCTAACCTTTCGCAGCCCTTTAACTTGCAAAAAGTGGTCATCACACCAGTCCCCACGACACTGATGTTGTTCCCACTGCTGATAAACATTGTACAGCGTCAAGTGGTCGGACTCTGGGAAGGAGAATTTCTCCCTTGCAGCATCACTCTCCTCTGCCCTATCTTTGGGCCTAAAGAATACCGACGGCACTGAAAGCATGGACACAATTGTCAAAACCTCATCTAAACATCCTAGCTTTTCACCCATCAATAGCATTTTAGCGAGTGGAGGGTCCAACGGCAATTCCACCATTTTCCAGCCCAGGTCAGTTAACTGCCCCTCATTGTTAAGAGCACCCAACACCCACAACTGGTACATAGAATGGAGAATATTATCCTTGGGAGGTGGGTCTACGAAATCAAAATCTAGTATCTTATCAACCTGAAGTGATTTGAGCAACAAGATCACATATCCGAGGTTGGTCCTCTGGATCTCTGGCACAGGATTGGGCAGCATTTCATTTAAGTACGCATTCTGTGTGTACAGCCGATAACATGTTCCAGGCTTAGTTCTGCCGGCACGCCCAGAACGTTGGTTAGCAGCAGTCTGACTAATAGGAAATACTTGAAGAGCATCCATACCCATTTTCGGGTTGTATACTTTCATTTTACCATATCCCGTGTCGATGACATATGAGATTCCGTCTACCGTCAAAGATGTCTCAGCAATGTTGGTTGCCACAATACATTTACGAGCCCCATCTTCAGCTTTTTGGAATATCTTTGCTTGCAAGTCAGCAGGCAACTGTGAATATATAGGGAGTATCAAGAGTTTTGGCACCTCTTTAACCGAGGTGGAGATAATTTGTTCCATCCGCTCTGAAAGGGCATAACAAGCTGCCTCAATCTCATCCTGGCCGGTCATGAAGATGAGGATGTCACCTTGAGTGCCGGTGATATGAATAGTTATGGCCTCCTTCACTGCAGCTTCAACATAATCTTCACATGGGGTTTTACTATACCTGATACTTACAGGAAATGTTCTCCCAGGAATTTCAAAAATCGGTGCACTTCCAAAAAAGTTTCTAAACTTCTGAGCATCTAGTGTTGCAGATGTCACGATGAGCTTAAAATCACGCCGCCGGGCAACCACTGTTTTCAAAATCCCAAGCAGCACATCCGTGTTCAGTGACCTTTCATGGGCTTCGTCCATCACAACTACGCGATACTTGTCAAGCTCAGAATCTCTTAGTGTTTCATGTATAAGTACTCCATCAGTCATGTATTTTATTATGGTATTTGGTCCAGTCACATCCTCAAAACGAATAGCGTACCCAACTTTATCACCAAGCTCAGTCTCCATCTCTTCACTAACTCTCTTTGCAACACTCATGGCTGCCACACGTCTTGGTTGGGTGCAACCCACAATGCCGTTTACAGTGTAACCCTCTTCGTGCAGATACTGTGTCAGTTGAGTCGTCTTTCCAGAACCAGTTTCTCCAACAACAACAATAACTTGATTTTCTCGAATTACCTGTAGTAAATCATCCCTCACAGAATATATGGGCAAAAACTGTCGTTGCTGTGAGATGGTTTTTGACTTTGCAAATTCACTCGCTGCTTCCTCATTCTTCATATGCTGTGCAAACTTGGCATCTTCTTTGAAATCAATTTCACCGTCTGCACCTGCAGCAGCAGTATCTGCATCAATCTGCTCCGCTGTTTTCTCAACACCAAGTATATCGCCTAGTTTAGAACCTGCAAGCTCCCAAAAACGTTGACGCGATTTGTTCATATTTTGCTTCTCATGAATTTTCCGAATGAGAGCAGACCCTTTGCGAGAAATTATGGCCATATCAGACGTGGAATCCTTTATTGGCATTATCGTCTCTGCTCGCGTGGTAAAAACAACAATTCCGTCCTTTCCAATTACACCGTCCTCAAGGAAAGGAGGCTTTAAATTTGTATCATGTACAAGAAGAATAACTTTGTGCTCTTCTTCATCATCGAACTCGGTCTGCACCTCAGTCCCTCGAACAGCACCAGATCTTATAAGTTGACGATCCTCCCACCGCGCAGTATCAGCAGTGAGCTGTGACAACTTTCTGCTCTGAGCAAGGGTCATCTTAGTTCCATCTCTTCGAACCAATCTTTTTGCCAACTCCGCTTCCTTCTTTTGAAAAGAAGCATCATCTCCGTAAAACAAAGACGAGCTATCAACTGTATCGAACATTGTGTTTCCTTCTTCCCTATCATACCATGCTCGGTCAGAATTGTATTCCATCTCTAGACGCATGCTTTCGCTAATCTCATATTTCTGTCCTTCATCCAAATCAGCCATGTCTCCTTCTCCATCCTTGAACGATTGTGAATTTTCTGAGTGAGACGCAACTTTACGAGGACTCACACCATGTTTCGAACTTGAAGATTTAAACGCATCTCCAGAAGGACAAATTCGAACTGGAGACGAAGAGATGAGATCCCACGGAGAAGCATCAGAACCAGAAAAATTACATCTACTCCGCTTTCTTCCATATTGTCCACCACATTGATCATGTTCATATCCCTCACATGCTTTCCTTCGACGAGAAGAATCCTTAGCATAACTACCACTCCCATCTTTGCAATCTCTCCTCCTACCACCATGCTCTTCCCTGTCATAATCATACCTACCCTCACAATCTCTCGGTGCCTCGAATCCGCCATCAACGCCCCTAAACCCTTCCCGTTTCGCATTAGCGTTGAAATCGAAACCCAAGACAGATTTCTTCTCCGGACGCCTAAAAACAACTCTGTCCTTCCCTAAAACATCTAATCCCCGACCACCACTGCTATTCTTTTGTTCCATTGTCACCCTTGCCTTGTCCAAACCAACAGATTCAGACCTTTGTTTTCAATAGAAAATCACAAACAAACAACTTATACAGCAAGAAACCTATATATATAAGGACTTTATAAAAACCTGGTACGACAACCTAGTCCCTCACAATTGTCTAAGAAAATTGGATAAGTTTTACGTGGGAAACTTCTGGAAACAGAATTTGGGCAGAATTCACCAGCCCCAAATCATTTTTTTTTTTTTTAAATTATATAATTTGTTTGATTTATTAAAAATATCTAAATGCCAAAAAAGTAAATCAAATCAAGAGTGATAGATTAGAAACAGAATTATGAGGTCTCTCTTACCTTGGGGTGGATTCAGGGCGGCTGTCGAATTATGAACATAAACCCAGAAAAGTATTCAACTTTGTAAACCGTGTTCGATCAGAAAAGGTCAAAACTTTGGTCTGAGTAGCAATATTAGGCTGGATCCTGTTTTGGGTCGGTTGTACTTTCTCTATTTGGTCCTTGGGCCTTTGTATTGGGTCAGCACAGCCCAATATGGTAAAAACAGAGGCCACCCACTAGGCACCAGCCTCTGCAAGTTCCCGCTTTCACCTGGACTGAGTAAACAAACACCAGAAACCCTAGAGAAATATTGCCAAGCAAGAAGAGGACGCAGCAAGCAACCCAGTCAGTCCTAAATATTTGATTTCTGAAGGTACGTTGGGGTTTTTTATTAAAGGTGGCTCCTTTATTTCAATCAGTTATTGTTGGGCTGCAATTTCTCATACCATTGTGCTTTTGTTTATTTTTTAATTTCCTTCCCAACTCTTATGCTATCTCAGATCATAAATTGTAGTTTATTGGATTACCCAGATGCTTAATTTTTTTATTTCTTGAGTAATTCGTGCCTTCACTAATTGAACATTGAGTTTTTTTCTTTGATTAGTATTATAATTAAATTAAAATTCTGGTGTAATTATTTAGTTAATTTTGTGAGTTTTGGTACTTAGAGCTGGAACCCAGAAAATATTGTTTACTTTCTGTCCAAACGACTAGCCAAGGCAAGAATGGAGTAATGGGCAGGGAAGAGGATTGTAATTTGTAATTCATTCAAACAATCATACTCATAGATTTGGTTCTAATTTGTTGAGTTTATTATCCCAGTTGCATTAATTTGTTGCTTTTGGTTCTAGGTTGTACACAAGATGGCCTCCAGAATCGCCCAAATCCGCCTAGTCAGTTCTCACCCCGAGGTTTATGAACCGTGTGATGATTCGTTTGCTCTAGTAGATGCTCTTTTAGCTGATCGAACAAACCTGTTGCAGCACCAACCGGCATTGTGCCTGGAACTGGGTTGCGGCAGTGGCTATGTCATTACTTCTCTAGCTCTTATTGTTGGCCAGGAGGCGCAGTATATTGCGACTGACATTAACCCCCATGCGGTGAAGGTGACTCATGAGACGTTAGAAGCACATGGGGTTCATGCGGAGTTGATAAATACTAACATTGCATCAGGACTGGAGAAGCGTCTGAAAGGTTTGGTTGATGTAATAGTTGTGAACCCGCCTTATGTGCTGACCCCTGAAGATGAAGTGGGACGCGAAGGAATAGCATCTGCTTGGGCTGGCGGGGAGAATGGGCGTACTGTGATTGACAAGATGCTGCCGGTTGCTGACACTCTTTTGTCAAAGAAGGGCTGGTTGTACATGGTCACTCTTACAGAAAACAATCCCTTGGAGATATGCCTTCAAATGAGAGAGAAAGGCTATGCTTCCAGAATCCTTGTCCAGAGATTGACAGAAGAAGAAAATCTACAAATCATCAAGTTCTGGCGGGATTCCAATTCGCAAGTAGTGGAAAAGGAAAACAAAACAGTGTCAGTTCCTGCAAAGGACATGGAGTCTTTGCTCTCTCAGTTCCATATATTCCCGTTTCTGAGAGGCAGCAACAACGACAGTAGCTGATGGATAGAGAAGAGGGGAAACGTAAGTTTCTTAGTAAGGACATGATGGGAAAATGGTTCCTATTCTCATAATCTTATGAGTTCTGGAAACCTTTGTCTGAACTTGAGATGCACACCATTGAACTGTTCGGTGCCGTCAGATGGTGCCGTCGGGGACTTCATCATTTTCTACGAAAATTTGTAAGTCCCGGATTCGTGTTTTGACAAGCATCTGCAGAACACGTTCATCATATTGTCTTAGTTTTATACCAAGTAATTTGGGTGTAATTCTTACTAGTACGCTACAATAGGGTGCAACTGAAGAGATTGCTCAAAATTGTCAATGAAGACGTGATTATTTTGTGTTGCTTGAAGTACTTGTGGTGATTCTTTCTACACAAATTGTCTAGGAATGTCAGGTGCAATCCTTCCAGGTTTAGGTTTAGTCGAGGTTCGAAATGATAGCAGAAAGTAACGAATGGAGAGCTGCAAATTTCTTGAACGGGTATTTCTTGAATGCCAAGGTAACAAGTACGGTTTACAACCCAAACAAACCCCAATTGCTAGAGAACAGAAATAATATTCATATGATCCATTCGTTTGAGAAGAGGCATCCTTTTAGAGAAAACCGACAAGTTGATCCATATAACATACCTATACAGAAAAACGATCCGTAGTTCTTCCATTAAGGAGATTTACAGAGCTGTCAATGGTAAAACCTGCACAAAACTACGTTTCAGTTTCTCTGGTACCGCACAGAATGAACAGTCGTTTGACGTTCAAGCGAGATCACATATTAGAGATCTTTTTGGTCCTCCTTACGGCAGTCTTAGCAAGAGTATCACAAATCTCTCTATTCCGTTTGGAGCCTGCAACTTTGTTGCCGCCAATGGCTTCAGAAATCTTCCCCTGGACTTTACCGCCAATGGCTTCAGGACTTTTCCCCTGAACTTTTAGTGCCTCCTTTACAAAAACTTTTAACCTCCATAATGTGCATTCATTCTGTGTAGGTGGGATGGAAGAAATGAAAGAATAGACATCTCAATTAGCATCATGCCAAATGAATTTAAACGTAAATTCGATGGTTTGATATTGTACTACTACATTCAATTTAAATGACTGCCAGATCACAGCAAAAACAAATAGATAAATAGATAATGACCTGAGCATCAATGTCAAGATCCACTTCTTGCGCAGTTGCTTGGAAGTTGGGGTTACTCTGTGCAACAATTTCTAGAGCCTTGCTCAGATCTTCGGCAGATAACTGCGAGAGAGCTGTCGAGAGTTTTCTTTTATCATCCGAAGACATTTTCCTAAATCAATCCACAGTTAGACGCTTCACAGATGCCAAAATGATCAATGAAAAATAACAGACACAACAAGACCATGCCCATGCTGTTGCAAGAACAATGCTGGATTCAGCTGTTGCAAGAACAATGCTGGATTCAGCAATTCAGTAAGGCCCATTCACAGTTTAACCACCCAACTAACATAAAGCTACATATCCAATTTTGTCGGTTGCAACACGGCAATAAAATGCACTTTGATTTGAAGTTTCTAAAACTCAAGCAAAAACACAAGCAATTTAGTTTAATTGTAGAGTGGATATGGGTTCTTAACAAACCTGCACTTCTGAACCACTGTTTGTCTGAGGTTCCTCAAATACACATCAATCTCAAAAAGCTGAAAATGATTTCGTTAAAAAAAAATGTAGATCATGAGTCAGAATTTACTCCTAAAAATAATCGAACTTTTGATTGGCATTGTGTATGTAAATGCATGTTGCTATTAAAAATTAGAATAACGAGAGAAAATTGAGAAGCTTCGTTACAAATTACTAAGAGGACTCTGAAATTTGACAAACCTCATTGCTTAGATGCTTAGCTGTGCTGGCATATGCAGCATCCTGAGATAGTTGCATGTTTCGCCGTGCCTCTGCTTCCTCGTCTGCTCGTCTTGTTTCCTATGAATAGTTAAAACTTAGGTTGAAAGTTAAAAAACTACACTGAAACAAGAAGACAGGCAACCTAAAACACATCCATTCACAATGAAAGGCTACTGAATTCGTTAAAAAAAAAAAGTGTTGGTAACAAGGTCCACGAAGTCCTACATAAGATATTTTCGCACTAAGAATAGAAACTTACCTCTTCAACAACTTTAGGCAGAAGCTTTAGCCATTTTTCTTCAAATTTTTTCAACAACGATTGGGCCATCACATAGACATCCTCACCTTCATCATTATATTTCATTGCATTCTTGAAAACCAGCCTCACATCAGCATATATCTCCCTGACATTCTTATACTCACTACCATCCTTGGCTTCCATTCTATTTTTTATGGTACCAAGGTCCATGGGCTTCTCAATGACCTAATGTAAGACATGAAACAAATTAGGCAGACCATCAAAAGGAATTTTCTTCTTTGTTGAAAAAGAAAGATGTATAATAAAGAATGAATGAACACTACGTGAAAGACGATGGACCAACAACAGAGAAATCAGTATGATACAAGTAGATATATGCATCTTCAAGTCGCCAACTAAAAGTTCAACAATTTTTTGCTTTTTTAATACTTTAATGAGGACCTTTGGAAAAAGTACAGCGTGTCCTCATCAGCATAGTGAGTAAATTTTGGAAACAATTAAAAATGTACGAAGTCTTTTTGATAAGTGAACAAGATGATAACATTTGCCCATAAAGGAAGAGATTACTAATCAGAAAATTCTAAAGGAAGAAAACTTTACTTGATAATAGTCATGCAATCCAAGACGTTCAACATCTACAGGATCCTTAAAGGGCCACGCCCATTCAAGCTTAGTGATCTGAACAGTGCCAAGTGAAGCCATATTAACTAGTGTTAATCAGTTTTAATGAAAAACCATGTACAAGTTAGTGAATGCGAAAAAAATCAAAGTCCACTCAAATTTGCAGCTGGTACTTCACCCACGTAGATACAGCATAAATACCAGATATCAGAATATTTTCCTACATTAAAAAAAGACAATTTTTTTCTAGCAAGAAAAAATTCAACATTTTATAAGTCTCCTTGCTTCTGCTTTTTCTGAAAAACATTATCCACCTAAAAGAAACTGTGCAAGAGGGTCCGGACTCTGACAAGTAACAACTAAAGTTTCTCATTTAGCTTGTATGTGAAATTAGAAGTATCACTCAACATGAACATCTGGTCACAAAAATTGACAATGGCGTCTAGCTTTTTATAGAAATTTTATAGTAGTAAATTAGAAAAGGTGCAAAATGGGTAGAGGAAGACCTAGGACGACCTGGATTGTGCTCTAAGCAAAAGGGGTAGATCAAGACCTAGGAAGACTTGGATTGTGCTCAAAGCAAAAGAGGTAGAGCAAGACCTAGGAAGACTTGGAAAGAGACTTTAAGAAAAGACATAGAGTACTTGGAGCATGCAATTTTATAAGGTTTTGTTGTAGAAAAAAAAAAAACACCCCGACAACTATAAGTTTTATATAAACCGTTCAAGAACTCAGTGGAGAGGAAAAAAATACTTCATCTATCCACTTGTCATGCTCTAGCATATTCTTAGTTGTGAAATTCTTATGCTGCCCTGCTCCCATTACAAAATCAACAGGATCTTTTTCCCTAAAGTATTGGGTTTTAACTTTGAAGTGTTTTTTCCCTAAAATGTCATGTTATCAAGGGCCGATATGTGAAAAGCTCTTCTAAAACTGCTGCTATTTGTTCCTCACAACAAGTCCAAATGACTGTCTTTTACCAAGAGAAAGTATTAATTAGGATGTTATAATTTGACCAAACATATTCGATTTTGCTCCGCTTCCAACACTATATCATCTGACTTTTCCCCTTCCCCAGGAAAGTACTTCTAAACTTGCTTCAAAAAATCATATATCCAACAATATTATAAAGAAGGAACATAATTAAAAAACATGTGAAGAATTAGTTAAAGAAAGAACCCTTAGATGTAAGAAAATATCTTCATTAAAATATACCCAAGTACTTGCATCCATTGCAAAAGTTTGGTGCTTGCCTGATGGAACATTGCAGAAAATTGGCGCATAAGCCCTTGCATTCTCTTTGTAGCAGCGGCTTCCCTACGTGATGCATCTTGCTGTTGCTTCTTAGAAGCAGTTAACTGTCTATCCTTCACGACTGCAACACCTTTTGAAGTGGGTAGATTCAGATTTCCCGTAGTCAAGTAAAACCGTTCCACCTCATTCACTCTTTTCTCAAGCTGCAAGTAAAAGACAAGTTAGCCAATCTTGTTCACAAGTTTTAAAATTTTGGACAGATTTCCCATAAATGAAAAAATTGCACAAAACCATAGATGTAAAAGTAAATTCCATAGTAGAAGCTGACCAACATATTGATAATTAATGACGAAAAACCAAACTATTGGAGTGGAAAATCATATAACACCAACCAGATTAGACGACGAAACTAGAACTTGAATTACATAAAGAAGATGCCGGTTTATAATTAGTGAAAAGAAGCCTCACCGTATCGATCTTTGCAGAAATCTCATCAACAGAACTATTAAATCCCTCCACTACAGCTGCACCATCAACACTTGTAAAATCTGGGTTTGATGAACTTGCTGGCTCCATCTGTTAGGACAACAAAAAGATTGAATTTAAGCAAAATCATTCCAGAATTTATTCCCAATTTCTAACTATCTGGAATTTTTCAACTAAAACAATTCGAAAAGGCTGAAATTAATAAAAAAAAAAAATTGTGAATTTGATCCAAATTAACTAGATCATTGGAAAGAAACAATTAAAGATTGTATCTTGATCGTTAAAACTCTAAAACCCTTTTCGTTAAATCAATCAAATAAGAGAGAGAGAACCGAATTGAACCCAACAAGCGTAAGCCTTCCTCTTCCCTAACAAATAAATAAATACAGTTGTTCAGGATATAGATATGGGTGTACCTGGAAGAGCAGAGACGCATACCGAGTCGGAGAGGTCAGAGAGAGAGAGAGAGAGAGACGGGAAGAAGCTGAAGAAGAACGCGATGCCCGATCACCAGTTGTTCAGTATTTGATCCGAACGAACTCGAATATTTTGAAATTGGGCTGTTTATTTATACTTATTGGGCTCGTGCCTTTTGTCTTTCTCGTTTTGAACGGCCCAATATTGCTTTTTAATTTATTCAACTTAATAATCGTGAATAATCAGAGGTGAATAAAGCCGAAAGGGAAAAGGGAGTGAGGAGATCACTTCTCTAATTTTACCACAAGAAACTTGCCTCAGATGAAGCTTTTAAAATGTCAACTTCATGTTTCATTCGTTAAAAATAATTTTTTTAATTAAAGTGCATATAGTTATATTGTTTAGGTTTTGTTTTACAATAGAGAGTGAGAATGATTTCGAGAGTTAAAGAAGATAAATAATCTTAGGATATAAGTATTCAAAGTGATTTGAGGTTGAAGTTATAATTGCATATTAAGGTGTATAAGTAAGTCAGTAATAATTTTAATTGTAAAATGTATTTAACAATAGGGTGATTTTATATAAAATCAATAAAAAAATCCGTATTTAAAATATTTCATTCATTCTTTTATTTTTCGATTCAAGTACACTTACATTTCATTGTTTTTTTCTACTTTTTTGTGCTTTTTATAACATGAGCTGGAGATAACCAAGTGCTGCTGGACCAATTAATCAAGTACTAGGTCTACTTTTTGTGTTTTTAGTAGATCTCTTCCAATAGATAATGTCCTCCCATATGCGTATGCCCTGATAGGAGATTCTAATCAAGGACAGAGGCAGCTAAGCCCCGTCGAGGGCAGGTGCCCCCACTGGACTGCTGAAGTTTTGTGTAGAGGAAAAAAATCATAGAACTTAATTTATCATATTTAAAGTACTTTAAGTGCTTAGTTATTTATCATATTTAAGTACTTTAAATGATTAGTTGAAATTTTCAAAAAATATGTATAGCAAGCTATAATTGTGAAAAAAATGTCTACAAGTTGGCTTAATGAAATTTGAGAAGAAAAGAAAAGCAACGAAATTATAGAAAAAATTCAACTATCATGAATTTTTTTTCCTCAAGTCTGAAAGTTAAGATTGCCCCGCTAAATAAAATTTCTAGCTCTGACCCTAAATGTGATTATGTAGTGATGAAGGGGCAAGTGATTGGTGTGGATAGAATAGGTTCAAAATTTGATTATCTCCAATGTAATAAGACGGATACATACATACAGAGACTGATACACAATAAATTACACATAAATGAAAATTTTTGGAAAAAACAAATATTCCGAAATAGGTTACAAGTATTGAAGGATAACAAATCAATTATATTTTACCAAATTATAACACTTTTACGCAGAAGTCATCACTGACTTGGGGAGGAAGGACTTGAAAATTTTTAAAGCTTTTTAACCCATGCATGATTGATTGAATGTTCTGCCTAAAGCTTTGGTGGTTCTGCAGCAGCAGATTCCTCCACCTTGGGAGGAGGAGCCTCAGCAGCAGCATCTGGCTCAGTAGGTTTAGGTTTCTCAACCTCCTCCTCTTTCTCCTCCACCATTACCTCTTCTTTCTTCTCCTCCACCACCTCTTCTTCAATCACTATCTCCTTTTCTTTTACACCACCACTTGTTTCCTCCTCAGTCTTTGCTGCTTCGGCTGGCAGCGGCGGCTCCACCTTCTCCTCAATCACAATGAATGTTGACACCTTCTCAAACACAAAGAAAACTGGACCTGAAACGTAGGCTGGCCCATATTTTGAAGAGGCTTCTGATACTGGTTTGGATCCTGGGAATTCTGTTCATGCATATAAAGATATAACCCAATTAAACACACGAGAATTTTGAAGAATTAAACCCAAAAATCGTTGAATATGTTTTAAATAAATTGCATACCAATTTTAGCCAACTCTTCAAGGAACTTCAGGACTGCAGCTGAATACTTCTTCAACCCTGACTCCTTGCGCTCCTTAACCAAAGTCTATTTAAGATGAAATTCAGTTTATGCAGAAGAGCTAATTAGTACTTAATAATTGGTCTAGTAATTCCCTCTTTCATTGTTTTATCTCTTAATTTGTCTTATGCACGAGATTTTTGGTGTGACAGAAAAGACAGACTTATTTTGTATACAACTAATGATAAGACATATTTTCTCGTCAAATATGTTACCTTGATTTCAGATGAGGAAGCTTCATATAATTCAATTACTTTTGCTTGAAGATCAGCCTTCTTTTCCTCAAACTCCTTGGTTATTTCCTCCTGAAAACAGATGCATATATAGTTATATACCACATATATATAATTATAAATTGTTCTATTTGTAAGATCTTCTGCAGAAAATAAAATAATTTGACCTAAACATAAAAACAAGAGAAAGAAAAAAGGAAGAAATATAACAAACCTTGGAGTCATCAAAGGACTTGCAAGCCTCAGCAGCAGCAGCCTTTTTTGTACTGGTTTTGGTCTCAAACACCCTCTTGATCTTTGGAAGCACCTTTGTTTGCCAATAACCCATCTCACTTCTCAACTCAAATATCCCTTAAGTCTAAAAACCGAAAGAAAAAAAAAAAAGCAAACCGAGATTCAGAAAAACTCAAGTATAAGAATGAAATGGTTATCAAATGAGCTTTTGAAGTTACGCAACAAAAAACTGAAATCAAGTACTGAAACTTTGAAGAGCACAAAGAGATTGATAAACTAAGCTAATAATAATCTCTATACCTTACCTACTTCGGTGATTGACTCTCTTCCTTTATTTCTCTCTCTTTCTCCTCCAATCAAACTCTCAAGGTCCACCTCAATTCTCTACGAATGTAGCAGCCAACCGTCTCTCCAAACTAATACCACAAAAAGCTTGAGAACCGGCACATCAACATATAGACATATGCTTCAAACACATAAATACCCCTATGGTTCGATTTTAATTGCCAATTACCTAGTTATTCACTGATAGCAGCCAACCTCCCCATGCAAATTGCCTAAACTACCCTCCACCGTCGGCTTATATAATTAAATTCCAAGGGCTATGACAGCACAAAAATTCACAGGTAGGTTTGGCTATTATTTCACAATTCGATATGTGATTCAAGGCCAGGGTGGTCAGTGGCGGGGTTGTAAATTAGCTGGGTATATGGGAGAGAGAGAGACTCACCTACACTTTGACACATTATCGTATTGAATCTCAAATCAATAACGCATTATTGGTGAAAAAGTTAAAGTATATGACAATACGTTATTGATTTAAAATATTGTCACAATTGTAGTTTGGACATAAATTTATTTTTTACATGTAGCGATGTGTGTATTTTTACAGAAGGCAGGATTCAAACTCAATAGTTCAAACACAATGATAATGATCTTAACCAATCGAATTACGAATTCTTGACGTGAAAGATTAGTTTGAAATATCCATACGGTTGCATACTAAGAGCGTTTGTAAGTTTCTCTATGAAAATGCAGATGGAATAGTGGTAAGCCTTTGTTGGGGGAGGTGACAGCTGGCAATCACCTCAGGGGGGGTAGAGAAACGTGGGACCCTTGAAGGGTTTTGCCAATTTTAGATGTTGATCTGTAAATTTAATTGTACGTGTGCCAGTATATGCATCTTCTTCTTCTTCCTTTGACTTGATGGAAAATACTTGTCACGTGGCTTCGCTGGATATTTAGCAATCACGCCGTCAATGACTGAGAAAAGTTCTTCGAAACAAACCAGCCCCCCATGGCCTCATTTGCAAACAATGCAGACAAAAATTCATGCCATGTTACTCTCTGCTTTCTTTCTTTTTTGTCAAGCCATGTTACGCTTCGTTTGATTGTATGTGTATACAAAAAACCAAAAATAATTAAATTAAAATTAAAAAAACATTAAAAATTAACAAAATACAAAAAATAAAAATAATAAAAAATAAAAGCAAAAATATATACAGATGGCTGCCTAGCGTACCCACATGGAGGTTGATTATAATTTTATATATTTTTCTTTTTTAGGGTTTAGGCCATAACAAGGAGTGCAATAGATGTTTCTCTTCCAACCCTCGTAAAGTGGGAAGCCTAGTTAACTTGGATCGCTCTTGTTAAGGTTTTGGCCATAACAAGGGGTGGGAGACCAGAAAACTTTCTATTAGTTTCGATGTGGGGCTAAGACAGGTTTAATTAGCTGCATATGATTTGGTTTTGGTACTACAAAGGTAAGTGCTGCTGGTACGAGACATCATATACGTTAATTTTGAATTGATGACAACGTTCTGGCTTTTGCTGTAAGAATAATTGTATTTTTGTTTGAAGACCAACTAATTCGTCTTACTCATTTGCAAATTACAATCAGAACCTATGCAAACATAACTCGACAAATCAAAGAAAGAGTTTTCACACATATGTCAAACCGTAATTTATTGTTTGAACGACAGGTAAAAATTGATATTCAAGTTGAACTCTATCTGAAACAGCATCTTTGGTTTTACCAAAAAGAGATTCTGTGTATCATGTATAGTAGTTGGACTAATTTGCCATCTGAGTTTGTTTTACAATTTTGATATTATATATTTTTCAGAGAAAAAATATTTATTTATCTGTGAACATCCATCTTTGCTAATCTGTCAGCCACCCAATTTCCTCAATTAATATTGAAGTTTAATCTGACTGTTGGAAAATTCTCCAGCATCTTGTTGTTTATATCATCATGCAAGTAATCCTCTCACTTAAATATGAGCGAACGGAACGGTTGTGTTTTCTGAAGAATTTGTAGTTCATTTGGTTAATCAAATTGATCATTGCATTTGACGTTCTGAGTTCAACTCTCTTTCACTATCGCTTGACGACTATTAAGAAAAAAAAGCAATTCTTTAAAAGGAGAAGCATATTGCACGACTTGGCTAAACCCATGTTTGTTTTTTGAGTCTTCTACAATTTTTAATTAGATTGGACTTGAAAAATAAATGAATAAGCCAATTAACAGTAGTCAGCTAATTATAAATTTATGAGAATTAAAACAAACCAAAGCAAGCTAATTATTTTGAGTATCATAAGTTGTAGTGTTGTTGTTTATGAGGTATCTTATGAAGTTGGTGGAGTTATAGAATTTTATTCTCCTTCAAGACAAAGCCTCAAAGACCACGACTGAGGCCATATTAAAATATTTATATAAAAAGGATAATTAGTGAATTAAATTTGTCATACTTGAATTAAAATAATGTTTTGTCCGAAAAAAAAAAATTACAACCTCAACTATTCTGTCTCCAAATGAGAATTTGGACCAATTCACTGTAAAAATAAATAATAAAACGGGTGTTCACTAATTTGAATTGGATGAAGTTATGTTTGTGAGTAACATAGTTGTCTGTGTTGTTTTTGTCTGCTATAACTTTGCGTTTTGCAATTTTATGTCTATTGTTTTGTTACTCTACAAAGTGTGATATTTTTTGTCTTGTAGACGTCGTTGTTGTAATCCCGAAGTTTATCTATTGAATTTTTTTGTCATTTCGATTGAAAGGAAAAGTTTAAGTAGTCTTCATCAATGGCTTGGGCAAGCATAAACATGAGAAGCAAAAATATTCAAGAAGACAAAGGATGAAGTGGAAGGTAGCGTTTGAGTGCAAAACTCTATTGAAAATAACATAACATTATACCATCAACTCTATGTCACTCTGACAAAGAAGGTGATTAGCTTTTAACATTAAAAACCTTCACTAATTAATATTTGCCTTATCCAACCCTGAGGTATTTCCAACTTAAGGTGTCTTCCCGAAAGAGGAGAAATTCTTCCTTGCATACAACAGCACTCATAAACGGGTGGGACCCACGTGCAGGGGTCTTATCCAATAGCCAGCACGGTAGAATTTCACCTCAAAAGAAAGCCTCTAATTCATTTATTAAAGCAAACATGAAACTGTTAATCGGTCTTCATCTGCAAAGACCATAATACGAACGTTTCAGCTCTAATAAATTACCGATCTCTCTCTGTAACAAATTTTGCCGCACGGCAAAGCCAAACTAAGCTCAAAACTGTGCAACAAGTTATAATCGGGGGATTGTGAACTTACCAACAAGTGATGGTTTGATGGTTTCCTACTTAAATAGTATCACCAGATCAATCTATAACATAGTTGGGATTCACGGTCAATATTCTTTCTTTTCTAGATTTTTTTGACGGTTGCCCTCCACCTTCGCCTTCACCCTCGCCTTCTGCTGCTTGACTACCGTCATCTAGTACTATCAGATGTCCTTCTCTTGTTATCAACCACTGCATTTCACGCGTTTATTTTTCTCTTTTAGTAAAAGATAACTGCTATTATGTCCGGATAATATAGCAACTTTTACACTAACATTGCGGGTGCAAGGTAACGGTACTCTTACCTCTATTATGGCACTGATTATGGTGACTTCACGCTCCGCCTCCTCCTTGGAACTGTAAGCATTTTTCTTGTCCTGCTGTCTCACATACCATTCAATCAAATCCCTCTGCCTCATTCCAGCCAGCCCTGTCCCTGAAACAAGGAACCCGTTAATTATTTTAAGAACTTTCTAGAAAATGAATACAAATTACATGGTAATAATTACAAATAAAGGTTAGAGTCCATTTGGAAGAAGTGGTTTCAAATCTAGAGATTTAGCTAAGATTCTACGGTTGGATTGCTTGACGGGACTATCACAATGCATAAACATCTATCTTTATTATTTAGTGATTTATACAGAATTGGAACCAACATTCCAAAGGAAAACTGATCTAACATTTCATCATTATCTACACGTTAACAAGAAAAAAAATAAACAGGGCAGATGGCTTACCGCTTTGCCTAACATCTTCTTCATGCTGTCTAAGACGCATGACAAGGGCCTGGGCAATCCTCTGAAAGTATTCATCACTTACTTTAATCTTTCCTTGGTCAGCTGCACCATCATCATTTGCTACACCTATTACCCACATAAAGTGATCATGTTAAGATAAAGTTTGAAGAAAGCACAAATTGAAAAATTAAAAAAATTAAAAAAAAAAAGGGTCTTATAATAATGCCAGCATCCTCAGAGGCTGGCTCAGCTTTGGCATTTGATCATCACCTTGATCAAAATCGGACAGATCAATCTCACTAGACTCCACACTGAATGACAAAAGAAAACGCACGTTATTGACACAAAGCCTCAGAATTTGGAGTGTGTGTGTGTGTGTGTGTGTGTGTGTGTGTGTGTGAGAGAGAGAGAGAGAGAGAGAGAGAGAGAGAGAGAGAGATGATACGAGAGGAGGATATTCAACAGTCTCATAGATTTCATACCTGATCACTGATGTTTTCAGCAATCTCACTGCTAAACGGACATGGGCTGGTTTTACCTGCAAGAATTTGTTAAGAGTTAAAAAACATGTATCTTATCTTAAACCCCGATAAACAACTTGCCACAATATTAGGCACCTGAAGGTCTAAATGACTTCGAGCAATGGCTTCGGACAGTCTAATCAATGCCTCTAGTTGCCTAACTGTCATGCGATAAGCAACTCTACTACCAGGAGCAGTATCACCTCTTCTGAGAGCAACATAAGATTCCACCAACAGCTTTCTAGCATCGGAGTTTAACTGCGTGATTTACTCTGCTCTGTCAGATACAGATAGAGAGGGGGTGAGGTTATGGTTTTGGAAGTGCAGAGAGAATACCTTAGGTTTCAGAGTTTTAGCAAATGCAATATAACGTTTCAGCTGTGCAGTAGTGAATTCAGGAGTGAGTGCCTCTTCACGCTTTTGATGTACTCTTACAATGTGGTGGGCAATGTGGTAATCAGTTTGATCATCTGGGTCATCAATCATAACATATACCAGATCAAACCTTGAGAGGATAGGAGGAGGAAGAGCCACATTATACTGGAAAACACAAACAAAAAGGTGATAAGTCCATAGCCTCCA